TAGTTAGAGAGAATTGTGTAGAGAATTTTTAAAGGCTTTTGCTTCTGAGATTTCATAATAGAATCTCCAATAAGTAATAGCAATTACTCAGGGACCAAAAATACATAGTTTTGCCAAAATGTATTTACAAAACTGATGGAATGTGTGCAAATAGCTCTGCCAGCCGCCTGCAGCTAACGACCCACGACCGACCTTGCAACAGGGTCAAGTCGGAAGATGCTGTAAACAGCCTGACTCCAGCTTCTTTCTGGGAGCTCATTCGAATCCACTACTGATCACAGTGGTAGTTTCACAGGACCTCAGAGAAAACGAAAAAGAAGCAATCTTTTCCCCATGGAAAATAATACTTCTCATTACCATTGGCCTGTCCAGGTATAGTCTCTAGAAGAGGTGGGTGCTGAGGGAAGACCCTGTATGTCACAACCTTCTCAGAGTCCTCTCTGTCCCCCAGCTGTGGCTTAGAATTTCACTGTAATGCTTTGTCCCTCCAGCTCAGTGATTTCCAAGCAAGAGGCTATCCCTGATGGGCAAATCAGAAACATCTGGAGGCTTTTTGAAACCACCTACTTAAAGCCGTCTCCCATTGTCCCGCCAGCCTCACTTGTGTGCTCTTTACAGCCAACTCTCTATAGAGGCCATAACCCATAGAGGTGCTGGGTGAAAAAAGATCAAGAATCCTGTTAGTTAAACTCTTTCATCCCTGTAGAAGTTGTGCCTGGGCCTAGATAGAGTCTGCCTTGAAGTTTCTCCAAACCATCAAGAGATGGCCTTCTATTTATTTTGTATTCATCAAGGGTTTAGGTCCTGTGACGGGCCTGACACAAGGCCTAGCAGGGGTCCTGAGAGGATTATACTCCAGTCCCCATCTCAAAGACTTCGTAGTCTTGCCTCCAGAAGAAGGCAAACAACTAATAAATATAGGATCCCAGGCAGACTACCTAAACGTGCAGTCCTGGCTCTGCTGTTTACTAGCTGGGTGACCTCAACTTCTCTGGGGCTCACTTTTCCTATGTATAACCTCATGAGAATGGTTTTATGTGGGTTAATATTGTTCATATTTATTTAAAAGACCACAAGAAGAGTGTCTAGCTTATAGTAGCTAATATACCACTGTTTGATACATAACTACTGTTAATAGGAGACCACACCATCAGATCTGAGTCTGATTAACTTCACCCAGGGTGTGGTTGGGAGGGTGCTTCAGAAATGAAACTGCCTGTGACTGAAACCCTTGCACCAAGTGAGAGATGGGAAAACTGTGATATTTGGGTATCCCATAGTGGGGCACCCTTAATCCCAGCATTGTACAGGCAAACTTTTTCCCAGCATCACACAGGGTAGATCTAACCACCGCCAAAAAGCCCCGCCCATGAGTACATGAGGCTTTGAGGGGACATCTAGACACAAGATATAAAATTCCACCCTTGGGCCCCCCCAAGACTCATGTGCATCCCTTTATGTGTAACGTATTTACTCCATCTCTAAGAGTTGCCAAAGTCCTAACAGTTTCAGTATTTCTGAAAAGTCCAATCCCCAAGTGTCCTCTGAGATTTAAGGCAAATTAGCTTTGAGCTTCTGCATAAATGAAAGGAAAGTTAAACAATTCCAACATACAATGGCACAAGACAAACATTACCATTCCAAGAGGTGTGAATTAGGAATAAAAAGAAATGGGACAAAAGCAAGTCCAAGATCCGGCAGGGCAAACATTAAGCACATGGCTCCATGCAGAGCATCCGGGCCAGCCTGTACAAGACGTGAACTTTGAAGGGCCTGGATGTCTGCAGCCTACAGCGCTGCCAGGGCTGGTGCACCCACAGCCTTTCTGAGCCTGCCCTGTTCACTCCTTGCAGCTTTCCTCAGGTGATCCATGTTCCTGGCTTTCCCAGCCTTCTGGGGTCTCAACTGTGCCTTTGGCTTCAGCCTCACACTGTGCTCTCAAGCACACCACATGGCCTCCCAGGCCTTCTTTAGAAATCTAGGTGGATGGTGTCTTGACCCCTCAACCCTTGCATTTTGCATACACCTAAAACCAGCACCACACGGTTGACACCAGCATCTACCATCAGGTAGGGCAATAGCCAGGCTTCTTCCTCTCTGGGCTGTCAGGGTCAAGTACATAGATGGCCTAGTGCTATGAGACAATCTTGAAGAACAAATTCCCTAGGAACTGCCATTCTGGAACATGGTTCTTTGGGGTGCTTTTCTCAAAGAAAGTCTTCCACCTTTGAAATTTTTGGGGTCTAAACTATGGAATTCTGTTGGTTCTTGTGATGCCTTCAAGACATCTTTTCAATTGTTCTCTTTCTTTTCTGCAATGACATTCTCCCCTCCATTTTTATAGGCCATAACTTTACTGGAGTTTTTTCTGGCCAAACTCAAAATCTTTTAAGTCATTCTGCTGGGCTCTTTGTTCTTGGTTCTCAACATAAATCTGGCTAAATGTCCTTGACATAGCCATACCACTGCCACATTAGACTGCCTTGAAATGTATACCACAAGACTGATAAGTCTTATTAGTTCATGCTTAGTCTATGACTATGAGCAAAATACAGGCAAATTTTCTGCCAAATCATAACACATGATCTGGAGTCCAGCAGCTAATGCAGTCCTTCTTTCCACCAGAAACTTCTGGAACTTTGTCTGTACTGGCAGCATGTCTGTCAGAATTCTGGTTTTCTGTATTCTAACTGGAATATCCCATCAAGCACAGTTTAAAGCATTCCAGGACTGCTTCTTCAACCAACATCTCCAAACCTTTCCATGTTCTTCCAAGAAGCCAGTTGCAAAGGCTCCTGAGCCATGTGGGCAGGTACAGTCACAGTGAAGTAGCAAAGAAGAAAGCAACCACAGCAGCCCACTTTCTGTCTTCACATTGCATCCACCTTTAAACAGGTAGCACTTCCACAGACAGTAGGGCACCTTTGAGCCCAGCATCACACAGCCCACATCCAGCTACCTCCAAGGAGCCCCACCTGCGACCACATGCGGCTTTCAGAGGACAGCTAGAAATAAGCAATGACAGACGAACAAAGCCCCTCATGCCCTGAGTCCAACAGATCAGTGAAGAAGGAAAATATGACACTTATATGTAGAGTGGTACTTTGCCATAAATAAGAATAAACTTGTACCATTTTTAGATAAATGGATGCAGCTTGAGACCACAAGTGTAGGTGAAACAGACCAGATGCACAGATGTAAAAATCACAGTTTCTCCTGTGCAAGAAACCCAAAGGGTAAACAAGGAGCAAAGTGGAGGACCGAAATTGGGAAGCAGGAAGAACATGCGCAAATGTGGAGGGGAACAAGGGAAAAGGAGGAGGAGGGAAGGAAGGGAAAACGGACTCTACAAAGAAAATAGAAGGGAAAGGTTGGAACGACTTTTGTAAATGAGGAGGAGAAGATGGGTTCATGAGGGGAGAAGCACGAGAAGAAGGAAGTAAGACGTATTAATAAGGTGCAAATTCCCAGTGACGGACTCCGTCGTTACGTATGGCAAATATGAACTAATAAGAAACCCTGTAAATGGGAGAGAAGAGAGTTCAGCAAGCCCGAAAGGGAAGGGGCTGCAGGAAGAGTGCTGCAGAGTCTTCTCCGCACCAGAGGGCGCCAGGACTCCCGCCACCAAACACTCTTCAGAAGCACGGTCTGGAGGTGGCAGGAGGGATTAAGAAAGCCCTCAACCTGCCCTGAAAAGAAACGGGCTGTGTCTGCCTCCAAATACACTGGAGGTGTAGGAGGAAGTGGCTGTGGTGTAGGAAGAGCAGGCTGGCCATGTGTGGCCAGCTGTTCAGGCTAGGGATGGACGGACACACGGGCTTTGTTGCAACTCTCGGGTTCTTGTAACTGCAAGTTTCCATTGTGGACAGTTTTCTTAAGAGCATGGCCCAGAGGACATGCAGGCACTGTCACTCTCAGCGCTCGGTGGTCCTTTGCACTTCAGTGTGAAAGAACAATTTTGAGAGAGAAAAGACCAGGAAAGCAAAGCCAAGGAGACCACGGCCACCAAAGGGGGCCGCAGCAGCACCCACAAGCTGCACACGACCCGCGCAGCACCTGCTGTCTGGGTGTTTGTGGCTGGCGCAGGATTTGGCAACCACCAAGGCAGGCCACTCTGCTCTGCCTCCTGGCATCTGCTGCTTGTCTCAAGGGGGCGCTGCTGATGGGTTTCTCCCCACCAAGACTGTCCGGGTGACTTCATCACCTCTCCCCACATATTTCTGGCCTCTTGGGTGACAAGATTTTTTTTCTGGAGTGAGGTTCTCTCTGGGGTCCGACATGTCTCTCTAAGACATGTCACATCCTGGTCTGTCTGCTCCAGCCCCCAGAGCCATGGGTAGGGAGGGAGCTCAGGGCCACACTGCTCCTGTGCCTGCTGCACAGTGACCCCCAGGAGTGCAGGGGGAAGTCGGCCCTGGGAGCCCCGAGGGGGATGTATTAAGGGCCAAGAAGGCGCCCAGGCATCGCATGCTTGGGAGGAGGGAGGCAAACCTGCCTGTGTGAGCTAGTGGGCAGCAGCACAGTGCAAAGAGAGAGAACACTGAGCAAAGCTGGGATGTCATAAGCAGGCAGGCAGAGACGTGTTTGTGAAAAGAAGAGGAAATGTTCTCATGGTCAGATTGTGCAGGGTTGTTCAGACAGGAAGTTAAGTGGGACTCGTTCCTGTATCCTCAGAGCCCAGAAGAGGTGGTCATTGATCTGCCAAAATAGAAGCACCTGCCCTCGCCTGCCTCTGCCTGACAGCTTGCTCTCCTCTTGTCCTTTCCTTGTCTTTGCCGACTGGAATAGAGGCAGGGAAACGAATCTTCCTATCACCGCCCTGACATCTGTCATAGCTTGGCAGGAACTAATGTAATGACAAGAGACTGACTCAGATTCTTTCTGAGAAGAGGCATTTGGGGACAACAAGGTGCGAGCAGATGTGGGCGAGCAGTGTTCCTGAAGCAGGCAACAGCAGAGGCTTCCAGTCCGGCCACTCTCGGGTCTCCGGGCCCTGCCAGGTGCCCAGGCAAACAGCAGGTGCGCCTCGGCCCACACCACGGGGGCCTCAGGGTGCCTTCTGGCCATCAGGGCTGGGGCATCACGGGCTCTTCGACAATGCCTCTCCTGGGTGCAGCTGCCAACAGGAAGGACGAGGTGAGAGGGAGCAAGAGCGGCCTGGTGACCGCCCGCCCCACAAGCTTACGATGTGGACAAGAAGTCCTTGGTGCTGCCACCCCTACAGGCAAAGTCGGACACGAAGCTCACGCTCCATGCCCAAAAGCGTCCTGAAGTTAAGCTGTGCCACATTCCTCCTAGGTCCCAGGGGAACAGGAGAAAGCAGCAGGCCAGGGAGGCCAGGCCCGGGTTCACATGCAGAATCAGCGGAAAGGGCGGGAGTCGAGCTGTTTTAAATGAAGCCTGATTGCCTATGGATTTGAAAAGGGGAAACTGCACAAGAGAAATTGTTCTTTTTATAACTTTGTTCTTTGGAAATTGCCCTAGCCCTATAACTGCTTCATGGCTTTGTAATTACTGCCTAGAGCCCTGTAACCACGAGAGCATTACTGAACGTGCAGGATGCCTGAGTGCGCCACTGTACAGGCTTCATAAACTGATGATCACCGGTCTCCCCGCGGAGCCTGTGGTCCCAGCCTGCTAGCTAAGCAGAAGGGCTGCCAGGCTGCTCTGTCTCGCCTCTGCACCTCCTGCTCGTGCCTTGTAGAAGAGCCTGAAAGCACCAGAGATTGGGGCCTGATATCCTGGAAGTGATCCCCCTCCCAACCCTGGGTGTCGTTCTGGTGTGTCTGCTTGCCATTGCAGGTTCTCTAGTGTCCCTACCCCGAGGGGTGCCACCCTCGCAGAAGCATGTGAAAATGGATGCAAATATTCGGTGCTATCGTGCGGTTCTGGAGTGTCATCTGGCGTTTAATTGGCAAGGGCCACAACACTGAATGCCCTGCAGGAAGGATCACTCCACCTCACATGCCATCAGGTCCCTGGGAAAAGCACCTCCTGATCTCTTGGGTGAGCCCAGGGGCTGCTCGGGGCTGGTGGCTCTGCAGCCACCCAGGCATGGCATGCTGGCCTTCAGGGACCTGTAGGCCACTTTTCCTTAAATATAGGAACTTCCAGACTTCTTGATATGTCTGACAACCTCCTCTGAATCCAGTTTTAGGAGGGCGACATCACAGGTGAACGCTGTTATTTCTGGAAATCATGACAACGCTATGAGGCTGACACAAACGCAAACACGGGCACTGCTATTATAGGCTGCCATTGATTTTGAGATGGTTTATCTGTGATCGACAAGAGGCTTGTATCAACCTTCTCTCTTGAAAATTAAATCACCCTTGTTACACTGTCATCAAGCACTCCCATACCCCCAACACTGTGCCCGGAGATCTGCCCAGCGTGCCCTGCACAACTTGCTCCTTGCCAGTGCGCATGTTCCAACTTCCATCACTGGAGGGTGACTGCACAGCACTTGGAAGCTCAAACGCCATTGCAGGCTTCACGCAAATGCGACTCTGGGGAAGCCCAGTGCCCTGCTCTGACAGGCCGTGCAGGTGCCTCTGATGTCCATTAGAATTTGGGAGCCACGGAGCTACACAGCACAGCTATCCGTCGGAAGCGTAAGTGCCGTGGGTAAGTAACAAATGGCATTGCCTGGGACACACCTACTCAATTCAGGCAATGACTGTGGCCATGAGAAGTGCCGTGTAAGGCAGTGTGTGCGCAAGAAGGAAGACCGCCCCTTCCCTTCCCGGGCAGGCATCACGATCTTAGCCTCTGAGCACACCACCAGTTCCCCTCCTCTACCGCTAAGGGAAACGTCCTTCTCTCCACTCTAGGCCAGGCCCTTAAGCTCCAACTGAGCTCCCGGTAATGCAGTTGATGTAGGGGTTAGGAAAAATAGGTCGTTTGGCAGGAGCAGCAGGAGAAAGGAGGCTAACACTGAGCGCGTACATATGCCAGGCCTCCTGGAGAACCTGCCATTTAATCGTCACAGCTACCCTGTCATGAGGGTAGAAGTAATCCACTAACAAATTCAGGAGCTTCCTTAGAGAACCAGACTGAAGCAGAATCTAAAGGAAAACAAGCTTTCCTAGCCTTCAGCAATCCCTCTAGCACCACACACACACACACACACACACACTGCCCTGTAGCTTCGAGTCTGGTTCTGGTACAGACAAGATTGGCAACTGTGTCGTGTGAACAGTTACACACAAGATCCGCAAGGCCCTGTTCCTATCAAGGCTGTTCTCAACTGCCTTATCTTGCTTCTTGCCTTCATTTGCCCCTACGTGTTTTGAAAGACCAATCCCCCCAGCAAAATGCATGAAACTATACTTGCCTTTCCTTGAGGGCTCTCTCATGGAATCACGAGGCCAGGGTGAGTTGACGTGCACCTCAGACTCGGCAAATTCTCCTGTTTCCCTGCTGGTGTCTCTAATCTCCTTCACCTACATTTCTGGCCACCTTCAAATGGAACAGATATGGCAAGTTGGCTGGATTCTTTGCTTGCAGGTCCAAGGGAGCCCCAAACTGCGGGAGTCCTGAGCCCCCTGGTGCCAGAGGGAGGGACCTGCTCAGAGAAGTTGGCTCTTCTGAACCTAGGCACTCTCTCTTGACAGTGCAATGGAACCTGAAGTGGATTCTGGATGATTCTGCAACAACAGCTCACTACAGGACCACAGTAAGGTTTTGGGGGTTCACAGGGAAGCCCATCCCATTGGGACATAAGGGGAGACTGCTCACCTCCTGCACTTGTGCTGAGTGCTCATGCTCAGGAGAAGCCAGACAAAGCACACCCCCAAGGTCAGTAGAGTGCGGGGATGGCCCCCAGCAAAAGGAGTGCCTCAAGGTGACTCTTAGACAGCTTTTGGGGAAGCCTATGATGACAACGACAGTGACTTGCAAGGGGGTATAGCATACAGCCAGACTCAGGAGGCATCATGCAAAACCTGCACCCCACTCCAAGTACAGGAGTAGGGATGGCCTGCAGAGAAGTAGCTCACAGGAGCGGTGTGAGCAGCCCGCAGTGAGTTCAGACAAAACTTACAATCGAATTGAAAACAAAAAACCAACAGGGAGGCCCATGGTGCACTGGATGACAGCAGAGGAGGTTGCAACAAAGTATAAAAACACTGTTTAGCTTTGGTGCACCAGGATGTGTAGATGAGATGCTACAGGGAGACTGTTGAGAGAAAGAAAGAGAGACAGAGACAGAGAGACAGACAGAGAGACAGAGACAGAGAGACAGAGACAGAGACAGAG